TAAAAATGTTTAATAAAAAATATTATTATTATAAATATTAACTCCTTTTACAATGTACTCATTACTACTCATTAGATTCAGATAGTGATTAAGAAACTAATATCTTTAAAATTATGGCTATTTATGTAAAGAAATCTCGAAGTGAACATTTATGAATTTAATTATAAGTAGTAATAGAAATCAAAATGCTTTTTACCATTTTTTTATGACAGTAATGTATTTCGTAAATAAGCAATAGCTTATATTTATTTATATTGTTTTAATATATGACGAGATAAATGGCAAAATGGCTACGATACGTTAGGTATCTCTTTCTCTCTCCTTTCTTTGTCTCTCTCCCTCGCTCCCTCTCTCACTCTCTCACCCTGCATAGTTCATTTGTATGACATAAATCATATCAATCGTTGATTTATTGTGATAATTATTATAAATCATTTTGACGAAATGTATATTTTAATCGTTTTTAGCTTTGTAGTATTTTTTACTGTAGTTTTTTCATATGCATGTATTATACACGCGGAAACAATAGCGTACCTGATAATAAAGTATTACAATTCAGAGAAAAAAATTCCTTTACATATAAAACTTTTGTTTCTTTTGTACTAACAAAACGAGAATACACATTATTTATTTTCGAGACATTAGATATATCATTGTATGGAAGTATTAAATATCAATAAAAATTTTACAGATTTTAAAAAACGTAGTTGCGTATATCGCATAACATTTAGCGTGAAAAATAATGTATTGTATCTCGTAATAAGAACTTATGTAAAACATTAACAGAAAAAAAATAAATACTTCATTGAATAAATTACTTAAATGATATTTGCGCATAAATGTCAAAGATGCAAATATGTAAATTATTCTTTATATGTATGTAGCAATTTAATTTTGTTTAAAATTGATTATATCATGGTGGAAAAAGGCCAACACGAATTATATGACACCTTTTTTGCGTAGCAAAATGAGAAGCCCAGTAAAGTACATACATTTACGACGGAGCTGAGCGTTTTAAATAACATAAAGCTTTTATATATTATTACTATTATAAATACTTACTATTATATATTAGACTATTATAAATAGTCAATAACAAAATTATAATTTTCCAATTTTTTTTCGTTATAAAATCTTGATATAAAATTGTGCAATCTGGACTGTGTGTAATACCGGTAACATATACGAAAAATTAATATAAAAATTATTACATTCGATAAAATGGACGACGCATACTCAGATTTTAATCCAGATGCCGCGAGAACAATAGGAGTTTGTAACCCCTGGTTTTAAACAGCGCGTATATGTGTAAAAATCTGTAAAATATCTGTAAAATATCTGTAAAAAATATATTTGGAAGTTGCTGGCATCACTTCAAAATTTCTTGTTATGTCGATTTACTTCCGATCGAATTAGCTTAATGTCCTCTGCGAAGATCTTGCAGCAACCGCCGATGTAACGAATTCCTAGGTCCAACCATTCTGATATAGGCAGATTCAGAGAATGATCGTCTTTGACCGCGATCCATTCGCCGCTTGTAGAATAGCTGCCACCTCTGTTAGGATACACTATCAGGGGAATGAAATCCTGCTCCGATGAAGCGCTTTCGTTGATACCCTTCAGTAAAGGAGTCACGTACTTCGGATCGATACAATTGACGCCAACTGCGACAATCTGCAATGGCAAAGTGCGGTAACAACGCACAGCTGTATTTTGGAATACGCTGCCGTCCGACATGAATTGACCATCTCGACATGAAAACGAGAGCCAAGCACGGGCATGTGGGTACTCCTTCAGCAACTCTAGAATGGCTTCCGCTTCCTCGACGCAGGGTATAGTTTCGAAAGCTAGAAGATCAATACCAGCGTTCAATAACGCCTTAACGCGCGGCCTGTGCCAATCAATTAGTTCTTGTCGGGATATATTCTTTCCGTAGGAACCGGTATATTCAGATCCATTGTGTAGATAAGCGCCATAAGGACCGCACGATCCAGCGACCATAGGTCTCGACTCAAAGGAGATGCTCTTTTCCTGAATGTAATCATCTACAGCTTTCCTAGCTAAGTTTACAGATGTGTTGAGCAAGTCCAAACTTTCATGTTCACTTATCTTTAGATACTTCATCATACCAGGTACGGACGCTTGATAGGTATTAGTCTCGATAATGTCGGCACCGGCGCGTAGAAAATCCAAGTGTGTGGCATATATGGCATCGACATTGGTTTTAAGGAACCGCGCTGTCCACAGCGGATCACCATCGATTTTTGCACTCACATGCCGTGACAATTGCCCGGAAAAACCGCCGTCCAGGATCTTAACAGCATTTTGACAATGTTCCATCATTGTTGATATGGATGGTTGTAGATTCAAGTATATCAACGTGTACGTCAACGTGTTTTAATATCACGTGTCAAAATCACTTGGATTTGCACGATTTTAAAAAGAGAATTCTCCCTTCCGTAAAGGACACTTTGAAATTCTCTCCTATTAATTTAAAAAAACCGATCGAAAATTGGCTCATTATCAAGTGCACTGATATTTCTTAGTACTAACTTTGATTAGAGCAAATTATTTGTATTACCTTTTGTGTCGCAGAATATTACGACTTCCTCATAAAGAATAATAAATTATTAAAAAAAGATCTTTTACCTGATGCGAACAGACAATGCGAAAGTACGAAGGATATTTGGATTATTTCAAATCAAATCAAATTAATTCTTCTGATTCTTCATTGCAGTCAACTTAGGTTACAACATGAAAAACAACACGTGTTTACTACCATGACTCTCGAAACGAAATATTTCTACGACTTCCACGAGAGAGAAACTGAACGGTAAGGAGGGATGTGACCGTAATAATATAACCTATACGAGTTACTTTATACGAAGTACTCGTAACGAATACTTCATATCGACATCTTTGTCTCCGCGTGAAGGTCCACGTGACTGGAAAATATTATACCTTATGAATAAATTATTGATAAATTAATTGCATATTTTACAACAGCAGGCAGGAAACTTCCATAATAATAGTATACTCTATAAACCAAGTTTGTTTAATGAAAAACTTATATATTACAGCAAAAGTTGACATTAAATTATGTTGTATAATTACCGGTAAAACGCTTATTTTTTTTTGTTAATCGAAGATTGACAATACCCGAGTAAAATATACTTGTAAAAAATTACAAAATTAATATTTTTTTTAACTAAATATACCGATATTTTCTTTATCGAATATATAATATTGAATGGAAATTTTTTCACATTTATTGAATTTGTTAGATATTAAGATTTGGCAATTTTATTAAAATATTGCCAAAAAAAAACCTAATTATATTTTACTTACAAAAATTATACAGAATTAATTTATTAATAGTTATTAAGACTATATAAATTTCCATTTTTTATTAAGACAACATTTTTGCAAGATAAACATTACAATAATCCAAGATGATTTTCTACGACGGCATGTGGCTGTCCCATTTGTTCCCTGAATTCAGACGTATTGAAGACATCTTCAAATCTATAAATAATAATATATAAATGTATAAAAATTGTTGAATACAGACTGATTTGTCAGTGTAGTAATATATTTGTTATAAATACTCTATATTCTGATCTTTTCCAAGTAAAATATCTCGCATCACATTAGACGACGATAAAAATGGAAGTCTTCCGATGCTCTCAGTGGCTTTCAATTCCATTGCTATGCGCAGTGGAGCATGTAATCCTTGTGTATTTCTAAGCAATATCATATTCATGCGATCTTGATTTTTTTTATACTGAAATATACAATTTACTATTTTAAAATTGTCCATGTTGAGAGAGAGAGAGAGAGAGAGAGAGAGAGAGAGAGAGAGAATATACAATAAATCTTACATTTCGTTCTGATGCTTCCAAGGGATGTGCGAAACCAACACTCTGTCGGATTGATGACAGACTAAATAAACAAGAGTAATGTTAAAAACTATTTCTTAAAAGAAACTACTTTTAAAGATTTGTAAAATATGAAGATTTTGTAATACATTCCATTATTCATTGCAAGTACTGAAAATCTATAATATAAATAACATGAACTACAGATTTTTAGTATTTGCAGTAAGTAATGTAGTCTGTATTTCAATAATGAAAGCAAATTCTCTCAAATGAAATGAATTATGTTATTTAATTCTTGCAACTTAGTTTTTTAAGTTTATTTAAATTATCATACCCTGACACCATAGGATTGGGTAAGTCATAGTTAGTTTCATTTTTAACATCGAATTGTTCAGGTACGACAGGCTTGGGTATGATTGATGGCAAACCGAAACTCTGAAATTATAACAATTATAATAGAGATAAAACTTTGTGTGTTGATGTTTAATTTTCTCTACTATTTTATATAAAATAATAGTAAATATAAATTAGTAGCCGAAAATTACATACAATTTATTAATTATTTTTACAAAGCACAAGCACGATTTAATTTTTTTTTAAGTTATTGTATAATTATTAATTGACATTCAATCTACGACACAAGGAAATCTATAGAATAAACAGTAAAATCGACTGTCATTGCTAACATAACCTGTTCATATATAATATATTATATAGTATTGTCTTAAAATTGATATGTAAATAATACGCAATATACTATTTAAAAAAAATACGTCGATTACCATTTTATTGCCTTGCTATCACGACAGAAATCACACCAATGTCAAAACGATTCAAAAATTTTTTTGACAATCCACTCCAAGAAACAAGAATCTTATAATGTCACAGCGTTCGTAAACTTATAAAATTTCGGTGGAATTCGTATCGATTGTGAACCAGGCTGTGTTCCAAAATTTACTGCCAGCGCTGCTACAGCAAAAATCTACAGTTTACGTTACGTGTACTATACATTTTCAGCACTAGCAGTGAATTTGGAGAACACAGCTCCAAGTAATGCTAGTTTCCAAATTTGTTTAAACCTATATCAGACTAGAAACTGATATTGAGATTGAATTTAATCAATCGAAACAAAGTTTACTAAATTTGATATCGATTTTCTTTCTTTTGATTGATTAATCCTTTGAAGTAGTGATGCATATTCATAATGCTTATATTACTAGAGGAAAAATGACCTATCCAACCAATGGGTGCATCTAGAAGCACGACCGCTTACTAAGCGCTTAGTAAGCTCTTGCATCTGATTGGCATATTAGAACTAAAAATATAGACCAAACAGGTACAAAAGCTCACTGAGAGCTCAGTGAGCGATCGTGCTTCTGGATACATTTAATGAGTAGAAAGTGTGAGCAAGACTGAGAGACAGAAGATGTATATTTCTATCCTGCTCAGAAACTTTTCTTCTTTCTGCGCATGTGCCAAAAGAGGATAGAAGAGGACAGAAATCTTCTGTCTCTCAATCTTGCTCACTGCTCAACGTCCGTATTCCCCCTCTAATAGTATAAGCTCTATGTGCATATTTGGCTTTGGGCACCATCAAGAATCTGCCCCTCTACTTATGCTCTACCAATTAACGCCACTCTCAACTAGCCGAACGCGAAGCAAAAGTGGAAGGATAGATTCTCGATGATACTCGGGGCCAAATATACATCACTGCTTTGAAGTTCACTGTGTTCAGCAGAAAAAAATTGCTCAATGAGTGATTCTTTAATTATATTAAGTGTATTTAGCAGGCTCAACATCAACAGTTGAATAAGCGCTTGCTACTATTGGTATATTTTTTTTAGACTTAAAGATTTGATTGGATGATCTAAAAGAATACCAATAACAATGAATACTCAATCAAGTGTTGAGTCTACCGAATGCAGCCGTTAATTTTTATTTCTAGGAGTCGGTCTCACCAACTCCGATTAACCTAATCGGTCGATCACTACATTGGAACTGACCAATTGCATTTGCTGTTTAGCAGAATTGATCAATCACGGTTGATACTTAATCGATCGATTTTTAATTTTTATTTTTTAATTCTATTTTTCGATGATCATTTTTATATGTTTTTATATGGCAAATAATGTAGTCTCTCGAGCTGTCTTTAGCTTACCGCGGTGCAAATATTTTAATTTAAATAGTCGCATTTAGAATCTGCGCAGAATCGTACAAAATTCGTCTTGAGAATGAGCACACTTGACTTTTTTTCACCATGAGTAATGTATTTAAGATGCCAATACAACCCTCTGATTGGTTCATGACATTATAAAACTGTACTCACAAAACAGTCTTAAATGTAAAACTTGATTTTGAAAATATAGATCTAAAAAAACATTTAAAACATTTTTATAAAATGACTTATGTTTTGATTTTGAACTTTGTGTTATTTGGGAAGTTTTTATATAGCACCATATTTGGTGCTATAACTACTATATACGATTTCTTCGATACGAACGATCGATCAAACAATTTCATCACCTAACGTCAGTTTGCCTCAGTTGTTAGTACTTTGTATACTTATATAAATAAGAAATTTAATTAAAAATTTATGAACGATAAATTTCATATTTTTCTATCGCAATGTCCTTATACAAAGCAAGAAGAATTAGTTCTTTGCGTGAATCACTTGCGTATAAATTACCGAGGAAGATTCTGATTAGGGTAAGTAAAATAGTCATTGCGATAACGTTTTGAAACAGAATCTTATATGCAATTTTTTT